TGTTCCTTGATCTTGTCGGATTTATTGATACATGAAACTAATTGTCGAGCCCATTTAAAATATTCGATTGTTATGATTATTTTGCCCAGGCAAATAATAGCATGATCATATCCAATCACAGTATTATATTTTGCTTCCATTCTAAACTCAAACCTCAAAAGACAGCAAACAAATTATTACTGCGCTGAAGTTAAATACTAAAACAACACGACTTAATAGTATTTGCTTTCAGTCGACTATGCACAACAAAAAATGGATTAACTGACATTCGTATTCTTATATACTCATGCGACAGTAGATCGACGCAAAAGGATATATATGCTTTTGAGCAGAATAAATCAAGTGGTGAAGAAAAAAAAATGAAAATCTAATACGATAGAAAAAAAAGTTATCAATCAACTATGAATTTATTCTCGAACACTCTTCTATAAATTTGGATCTCAATATCAAAAGAGAAAAATCAGAGTATAATATATATAGTATATATAGACAGGATGACCTGAAAGTAAGGTAACATTGAATTTTTTGATTTCTTCTTTGTAGATGGTCAGTTAGACTTCATATTTGTATTGAATATAGTCGGTGGTATAAATCAAAGATGCAGCATTTGATCAGTATCTGAGTGTATACTAAACTTGTCAGTGAAGTTATATTGATGAGTTTATCAATCAGTTTCTAACAGGATCCAACTTTACAAAGACTTAGAGGATTACCACATTGTGCAATATTTGTGACAAGTTTCACTACAAAAAAAACTTCAAAAATATGTATTTTTGTGTGTGTCATTTTCTAGTTCTATTGCTTTAATAAAGGTTTTGTAACAACTGTATTTCCTTACTTTTGAGCCACTCTGTTATCATCAAGTATAATGTAACCAAGATTTATTAAGTAAACAAACATAAACTTAGAATTTTTATCCGAGACTAATATTCAATACAAAAGATAACGTACGCACAAAAGTCAAACAAATGTACAATCCTAGTTTTTCTTTGTAGAATTACTGCAAGTAAAAACTTTCTAATAGTATAGATTTTCCATATTCCGTAATGTTTTTAAAGAATGAGAACACTGGTTAAAAGCATCAATTCTAAGTTTATGCAATAGGGAATTTTCGCTTTACCAAAATGTTAACTTCGTTTTTTCGATAAATTTTCCTATCGACGAAAAATTGAAAGCTGTTTCACTACCCAATTGTGATCTCATGCGATTTCCTGCGGACATCTAACAATTTGTGCAAACTTGTGCTCATCTAAATTCGATGCTGAATATAAAATATTTAGCATCAACAGAGACAGAATTTTATGCTCTAGTAAACTTTCAAGATCTTCTCAAGTCTTCTAGAGATGTTATTCATGTACAAAAAGCGGAAAGTGGAATTGTTATTTAAACATCTTTTTAAAAATTGTTTTGTTTTCTGGTAGTCGCAATTTGATGGCTGAGTCAATGTCAATTTTTTCAATTTTCCGCGACGGGAGGAACTTATTTGAAAAACAAAGTCGACAGTTTTTTAGTAATATAATATACGGCAATATAAAGCAAAAACAAAAATTTACTAAGCATATTTATCGCATGAATGACAGAAAAAAACCAAAATAAAAGTTAATGGTCAAATGTCAGCTGCAGGGTTCACTAGGTCGTTCATCATTATCATCATCATCATTATAGTTGTTCTCATTGAGGTTATTTCCATCAACATGAGGATTAGATATGTGTGGTTGTAGAATTTTTTCTATATCTGCCATCATTTTTTCGACATCTTGCATATTTTGTCTACAAATTTCTCCCATTTTAGAATATTGAGTAAAGAGTTTTTTTGACCATTTGTAACGAAGAAGGGCATTTTGGAGACAATGACGACCTTGTTCAACAAAATAATCAGCAACGTCACGTGTCATGCGTGCTAATAAATCGGCCTCATGATTAAATACTTGTACGTAGCCTCGAACCTCATATAACCAATCCAAGTGATATTCTGTATTTCCACAGAAAATATAAATCGAATAATAAGAATTATTAGTGATTGGATCTTTAAATAATTGTTCATAATTTGCAATAAGTCGTGGTATAATATCTTTGCCCATAGTTCCAGAAGTAATAAAATAGATATGTTTATCTTTATTTTGTTCGAAAGATTCATAGCATCTAGTTAAATCATCAAAGGCCAACAGTAGAAAAGGTACGCCAGCAAAATGGACTGGCCTAGCTTCATTACTACGAAGAAGATTATCATAATCTGGGTCAGTCAACATTGTCCAAGTTTGATTTCGTGGATCCATATTACTAGCAAAAGCTTCTTTTAATTTTTTACATTCGTTAGGTCTACCAATATGAGTGTCAAGCCAAATAATCAGATGCCCTGGAGTAGGATAATCATAATTTTCAGGAATTTGTATTTCTGCCTCAACCATATTGATAATACGGGAGTAATCGTAATTACAATAAATCACAGAAAAAAATAGAATTGTATTTAAATAGTTTCAAAAAACAGAACTTAACTACTGAATATAAAATTATTTTTACCGAAGAACACTAAATGAAAATGCCTTACAACATTTATAGCTGGAAAGAAAAATTAGGTTGGAATTTACCAACAAATTTTTTTCATTCTGTTTCACTCGAACTTGCAAAGAACGGGTCGGTGATATCATCATGTTTAATTGTCAATGTATAACGAGTCTTCGACTACTACGGACGGCTGTTCTGATGTTTTACATCGTGGCAAAAAACAATTTCTTTTTCTATGTTGGAAAAAAAACAATATGGAAAGAACGCAAAACAAAGTTCGATAAAAAAAGTGTTAAACGAGAAAAGGTCATCATTCTTAATATTCACCATTGTCTTTCTTTATTGCTTTGAAAGAATATCCATCGCTTTTAAACGAAAAAAAACCTATTTATACATACATGTCTTACGATTTTCATAAGGTTACAGTCCTAATAAATACAAACAACAATTCACTTAGCAAGTACATTACAGTTCACGCTTTTGATTTAAGGTGAAGTCAATAAAAAAATTCATGTGTTTTGTTAAATAAAAAGAATTATATTATTTCTAAAATTAATTGATTAGCTATTTTTCTTTTCTTTTTTGTCACACATTATTGTATTTAATCTATATTTTTATAAAAAATGAAAATTCCTAATTACTATGATATCTAAATTTTGATATAAGTGAAAAAAAAACAAGACATTGCAAAAAAAGAATGTTGTTTAACTTAATTCTCTCTGCTGATCGTTCTTTGAAAAAAAATTTACAAGGAAATATATTTATGTGTATATGTTTATGTTTAAAAAGCAGAAATCAAAACAAATAAAATGTGGAAATCTCGGATTTATATCCGAGAGTTATGTACTTCAAAAAGTGAATGAGACAAATCGGTCATCCTAGAATGTCTGGATATAAAAATTAGCTTGGCAAACCTTTTCTATAAACCCTCGAATTCCGTTGGCTGCTGCTCAACCAATAGGACTTGGGAGCGTATACAGCTCAGATTTGAACTCTTCGGCTTAACTTAGTCTCAGAAAGTCGTTTTCCTTATAACTTGATTTCTAGTGGTTAATTCTCAATCAATGGGCCTTCGAGGCAAGTGAAGTACAGATTCGAGTTCTCCATGCCAAAAAACCTTCAGTTATCATCTTTATGATCGGAAGATAGAGCTCTAATTGGGGATCGATTGGAGAGTGCACAAATACAGAACCGATTTTCGCTTATTTATCTTACCAATAGGTGAGTTAGTCTTCTTGTTTCTTAATGTTTTATATACCATTTTGTAGCTCTTGAAATTCTCTATCGAATGGTATATAATAGTTGGAGGTTTATATGACTATGATAGGAAAAGTCTTTTACGAAAGCGGCGATGGGTCGATTTTCCCATAGGAAGCCATGGAGGAAAATGGGTATTTTTGCAATAACTCAGGAACGGTTCGGCCGATCCTTCTCATCTTCGAACTCGACCGAGATATTGTAAAGATTGAACTGTGTAGAAAATTTCATCGCGATCTGACTCTCCTTTCAAAAGTTATCGTGTAAACGGCCGGACAGACATACTGACCGATTCTAGAGTGTACTCACTTTTTGAGTATACAAAAAGTATAGAAAATAATAGTTCATTAAAACTGTAATATGCACCGCTCGATAATTATTGTTTCATTGCTATTTCCACTAATTATAGAAGCTTGTTGACTTGTTCAAATTCTTTTTTTTATTAATTAACCTTCTTCCATCACTCAATATCAGTTACAAAGTATATGTATCCAAGAAAGAAGATTGTAACCAACTGAATTATTTCAATCATTTGCTAAAAATAAACAGTTGCTGTCGGCAACAAAATAATTAGTTATATTACATATCATGCCTACTTATAGATTTACATGTACATCAATATCGAAAGCGGTAATTTAATATAGTTATTTTTTCAATAAAATCTCAGTTGTGGTTGACCTCATGAGAAAAGACACTAATTACTTAGCATAGTTTGTTTGTAGCTGGATCATCGAAGATATCTTCACTGTTCTCTATTATTAATAAAAGAATTACTATTCCTATCTATCTTGATTGAATGAAAAAGAGTGGTTCACTTTAGTTTTGTTGTAACATAATGTGCACAATATTCAACGTCAGCGTAGGCTACTGATAGCAGTCATAGATTTTCAGTATTGACTGATGTCTATCTTGCTGAATGAATCACTTCATCATAAGCGCTGTCGTTTAACTTTATCAGATATTCATCTTTTGGATTAGATTTGCTTGAATAGGCTTTTTCTAAGACTCATGCATTTTTCAGTATTTTTTTTTGTCGAATCAAGTCAAATGAACATATGATCTAGTATTTTTTATTTGATCCAATAACATCATTAGATAGGTTTTATTCACAATAATATATAAGCCCATAAACGATTAATGTTTATAGGAAAAAGCATGAACACATAGTTTAGTAGAAACAACCATTGAAAGAACTTGATATTTGTATTTGTGAACAGTTTAAGTTGTTTTTCTTTTAGTTATTTGTCTAAAGCCATTTCAGCTCGACGAATAAGTCCATTGTTGCCTTCCAATAAATCGAGACGAATGCGATAATCTCGTTGAACAACATGTTTTTCTTTGTTTTTTGTGTTTGGTGGCACCTTATCTTTTTCATTTGCGCGTGTTTCAAGATTCCAAGCATGTTTAAAATATTTTAATGCATTATGTGGATCATTAACTTCCAAATATAATTTTCCTTGTTCAATGAAGTATGTCGAAATATCACGCATAAGTCGAACTAATAAATCAATTGGATGATCGAACATTTGAAGACAATTAGTATAGTCTAATGCCCAATCAGCATGTTTAGTCATTTTAAAACAAAAAATATAAAATGAATGCATAAGAGGATATTGACGTACAATTTTTGGCACCATATCTTTACCTAAACTACCGGATGAAATGAAGAAAATTTTTGCTTCAGAATGATTTTCAATTTCTCGAAATGCTTCTTCTGATGTTGAAACAGTAATAACTGGAGCACCATTTGTTATAAGATCTTCTTTGGTTTCCTTACAAATCAAACTATCAATATCATTAGAAGATGTCGATGCAGCTGTCGAACCAATTTTTTGATTAAATTCATCTTTCATTTTTTGATAGTTGTCTCCTTCAAATGTTCCATCGAGCCAAATAACTACGACGTCTTGTAGAGACATTTTATGAAACAGTCACAAATAATGATTGAAATGGTCTTGAGCCGAACTTTAAATATATTAGATGGAGTTGCTGGAAAAATCCAATAATAAAAGTAGAAAAAAACGCAAAAGAAAGCATGCATTTATTGTGTCAATAAAAGCACAGGAATGAAAAAGATTGTCAATAAAAGCACAGGACTGAAAAGGATTCTGTCAATAAAATACCATAGCTACTCTATATGAGCGAAGAAGGGGTAAAAATACTAGTTGTTATTCTAGTCACGATGATACATCATGTCTAGTCATTTTTTGGTCAAAAAGCCCTAGTGCATCACTCATCCGCATGCGCACAATATATCAAATTAACATGTGCCTAGCAGAATGGATTATACGATCAAGTGACCAATTTCCACATATAAATAAATATTCTAAAATGCTATTCAATAGAACTTTACTCAGTGTTTTTCAATTTTTGGCGTGAATAAAATATTTGTACCTTAGAATATAGAATTTATTCTGTTAAGTTCAATTGGACTAGCTTCAAATTTTTTTTTTTATTTTTCCAAAAAACTTTTTCTCATTGCTGACATCCGGGAAAATTATTTGATATTGTCAAAAAAATTAAACAAAAATAAACTTTAAATAATCGATAATTACAAAGATTAACTATTTTTTCATATGATGATTAAAGTTTATTTTAATTTTAAATTTTCAAAATTTAAATCCTCAGAATTCATATTTGAAATGCGATAAAATGATTGAATAAAGGTATTAGAGTTACTCTTAAACAAAATTATTTCTAATTTACTTATCAGTGTAAGAAATTTCAAAGAACATTAATAGGTAATTTTCATTGAGAAGTAATCAGAATGCTTTTTATTTTCATTTACTTCTTTGTCCTTCAAGAGCTGTTGTACTGTTACTATAAAAAAGTACAAATAATTACTCTTCTGAGAGGTGCTTGATATACTCTTTGATATGAAACAATAGCATCGCAAAGTTGCACTCAAAATATGATGACATATGTCAAAGTGTAGATTTTTTAAAGAATATTGCCTATCCTTGACATTTTTCTTAATTTTGGAATTTTCTTCTTATTGGTGTTTTAGTTAGAGAAAAAAACAAAAGCACCAAAAACAATCTATGTGCATATCAATAAAAAATGTAGGAATTAATTCTAATTTTCATAGTCATGATGTAGTAGATTTCATTGTACTGTTAACTAACGTCAGATAAAAAAACATGTTTTCATATGGTTTTGACTATTAGATTTGAACAAGTTTGAGTCTGAAAATTTTGCAGCACTTTAAAGCGTCTATTTTAATTTGTCTCCTTAGTATCAATAAACTCTTAATTGAAAAGTAATAACAAAATGATTATCATCCTATTATCTGCTCTATATTCTAAAAGCACCGAATTACCCAGTACTTATTGCTAAAGATGATAAAGATGCTTAAAAAAAAACATTTGCATTATAACTGATTGCTTTTTCAGTTTCTATACAAACCCATATCAACTAATTGTATCGATAATTACTGCCAAACAAAATAGACGCTTTAAGATATTCGGTACATATCACGATTAAAGGCATTTCGAGCTGGACAAATCACGTTCTTTTGGTTAGTTCTAATTACATATCAAATGAACAAGCGTCACTCTTCTGTTCAGTTCGTTCAAACTGACGTTTACATTTCGTTAGATCAAATGTTTAAATCCCTCATTCGTCTCATTTTTTTTCTTTATCTATTCTATTGACGAGTCTAGATAGAAAGAATAGACTAAACGGACTAAGTATGATGCAAGTAAGCACGTTTTCGATCAGCTCATATGTTATTGAAGGACATTTGTCGAATAGACGGTCAATCGTGACGGATAGTGTGAACACTTTTGGTTAGTGATGTTAGACATCCTGACTTATTTTCGATTATCGGAGAAAAAGGAAAGTACGTCATCAACGACTAAGAGTAGAATTTTAAGAGGAAGGTAACAGTGGAATGATAAATTTCGAAATCTTTAGATCTGATGTTGGTATTGGCTTCAGAGCCACTTTTTTGTTAGATCGCCTCATACCATCTATACCTATGTTTATCCAAATAAACTAAGAGCAGATAGTTCTGCCATACTCTTAGTGTTCCTCTATCATATGTTAAACATCATAACCATATCTAAAGAAAGAGGAAAAAGCATATAGTTTGATATATAAAACTTTATAGTGCATTAATGTCTGATGAAGACAATTTCGTTTTTCGAAACATGACGATTTAATTTTAAGTTTTATTAATTCATTATTTTATCTATGTAATTTATTAACTGTATTGTATGTTAATTTATCAATAAGTTTATTTTAATTTAATTCTTAATTTTAAATCTATAAATCAAATGATTCATTTCTTCTTCAAGACCTTACGAGGGATGAACAGTTTTATGAATCTAATAAAAATGTTTTCATTTTATTTACGCACATGGGTATTTCGTACCTTATGATAAGACGTTATCCAAGCCATAGATTATCATCATAAAACTCCGCGAGAAAACAATTATTATTTGTTGCTTCATATTTAAAACTATGCAAAATGATCCACTCACTTATATGGAAAAAACGAGAAATACAATGGATCGTATATTGTATGTATGAGCAGTGATGTTTATTTGTTGATTCTGATGTATCTGGGTCAATAAAATGGAAAAAAGGATCTTCGTATAATTCTCACACAATTATCCGGCTTGAATATAACGCCTGAGAAACGAAAAAATACCACGAAACATCAATATTTGATCTGATACAATCCCATTTTCCTATCAAAATAAATGCTCATTTTCCTTGTTTATCTGGCTGTACTAGTCTCCAGCGAGCAAGTCTCTCCTGAAATTCTTAATATATGGTTATAACGTTGTCAAACTTGCTACATTACATGCAGATCGGCTAGATCAATACCAGATATTTCTTCGACAGACATGATTTTACAGTGTATTTTAACTGCATATACCTCGATTCTATCTATTCTCTTTTCTTTGATATTTTCGTTTCTGTTATTTCGTTTCTATTGCTCTTATTTTTCTTTGATTAACCTTTCTTTTCTACTTTTATCCTTATTTTCATGTTCATATATAAACATTGGTTTTTTCATAGAATAAACAAAGAGAAGAAAATATATACATCATTAACAGTGTTCGTCGCTCTTCGCGAGCGCGAACCCTAACACATGAATTTTAGTTTCTTGCTTAAATTAGTAAATTATGTACGTCATAAAACATAAAAAGTAATATAAAAGAAAAAAACCTATGTTGTTCGTAATATCATCAGTTATCGACAATATCATGAAACACAATTATTGTTCAAAAAAACTTATATTAAAAATAGTGTTCTTAATGCATATAACTACATAACCAATATTTTTAGTTCAATTAGTATCAAACAATTGTAACAAAATGCATGAATAAGGTGGATGCAAAATCTCAGTACCACTATCTGGTGGCAACTGGGACAGCTTTGGTTAATAGCAATCGATGATAGTGTAAATGCAGGCTTTGATACTGAACTAGCCAATGAAACCAATAATAGTGTGATTAATTATCTTACAAATTGTTACGATAGTGATGAGATATAGTATTACATGATAGTTCTGACACAATGAATAAAAGTTATAATATCTGCAAATCTCGTGGTACGACTAATCGACTGTGTGAAACGAAAATTTACTCGAATATACTACCAACTTACAATTAATGATACACCTAAATTTCTTCATAAACAAACTGCTTGCTGACTTTAACAGAAAGTTAAAACGTTGATGGTCTGCTGATTCATTTATTGTGGGTTAAAGGTAGTAGCAATGTATATTTTCAACTGTTTTTGTTCAAATAAAAAAGCAATGGTAATATTTAATATTATATAGTCTCATTAAGCCTTATCATACGTTTTTTCAGTAAAATTTACATATTGATAAATATACCTAATTCTAGAAACATTAACAGATTAGAGAAATATCTATAAATGACATAAAGTAAACACTAATTTTTTATTGTTGTTAGAAATTACGAAAAGCCATTAGAAATCATTGTGAATCAGTTTTTCCCCTTGCTCTACATGAGCACCCACCTATATTCACACCCAATATCGATATTGCAATTCATTCTAATTGAATGTTGATAACATTTATCATCTACGTACGAGTCTTTCTTTTGTCAGTTCGAAAAGAACCGATAACAAGCAAAAAAAATCGAGGATATTTACTTGCTGAATTCATCGCATCACATGTTATATTCAAATACTTTGAAGTTCACCTTTAAAGAAATAAAGTCTTAAACCCTACGATTCATACAATTAAAGTGAATATATGTATTCTTTTTTTAAATCAGAATATTAAAAAGACAAAAACAGATATAGAAAAAATGTGTTGGATAAAAATCAATAGAGAAGAATTATTTATTTTGGCAAATTATTTGTCAATAACCCATGGTTTTCTTTTCAATAGTTTATATCATTGATTTTATTTTGTTTTCGTCTTTCATCATCATGTGTTTTTGTCATATGGAAGCCTTTATTCGATGATCATCACGAATACAACGATAATCGTATCGCCTATAAATAATATAAAAACCTTCAATCAAACAAAACAAGAAACATAGTTGTTTCTTTTGTTTACCGAATTCTATCATGTTGCTGTTGTTGAAAAAATAAAGAATGATCTGAAGACACATAAGGATCTTGCCATTGATTGATATTATATGATGATAAAATATTCAGTGGAATACGAGAACGAATCTGAGATGATCGATAGGGATATAAAGTATAATCATGCTTATTATATCGCTTATAGTAATAATGAGTAGGAATGCGGTGTCGATAAATCATTGATTTGTACCATTGATTATTTTCTTTCAAATAGTTTTGCAGTTGAGAATGTTGAGTACAATCATTTGAAATCTGTTTTGGCTTGAAATGTTTTGGTAATAAAGCATAGGGAATATGTGGTTGATTAATCAATTGATCAACAATATTTATTTGTTGTTGATCATTA